CACAACCCCTCCTGTATGCAAAATGGTAAACAAAAATTTGTTATATCTGCTCTGAGTTCTTTGCTTCCTTTAATGAATTAATTTAAATCTGAAGAGTATTACCATAGAAAGAACTCCCTTTAAATGATCTTCATGAAGAAGTCAACGCTTTGTACTAATCAGTGATTTTCAAATGACAGTATACAAAATAATCATCTAGAAGTTTGTTAAAAATACAGGAATCTGATTTTGTAAATGTAAGCCAGGGTCAAAGAAACTGTATTTTTAACAAAGTGGTAATTCTGATGCAATAGATATTTGAACTATACTTTGAGAAACACTGGGTTAAAAATTCTTATCCTTGGGGCTGGCCCAGTGGCGCACTGCTACAGTGCTCCACTTGGGAGCGTGGCGGCGCTCCCGCCGAGGGTTCAGATCCCACATACAGACCGGTTCCCGCTCACTGGCTGAGCGAGGTGTGGGCGCAGCACCGAGGGTTGTGATCCCGTTGCCGGTCCCGGTCTGGTCCGGGCGCGACACTGAGGGTTGCGATCCATTGCCGGACACGAAAAAAGACAAAAAGGAAAAAAAAATTCTTATCCTTGAATGGAAAATCTCTTGGAAGTGTTTCCCATACCTCCTCCACCTATATAAAGTTCTGCTGCTCCTCAAAATAAATAAAACATTAAAAAACAACCCCCCCCAAAACACTCAGTAGTCCTTTTCAAACCCATCAAATGTTGGCAGCATGAAAAACAATTTTAGTGTCTGAGATAATTTATTGATGAATCAACACAATAAATTGAGTGAGAGTTAAAAGTAATACTTTAAAAAATCTCATATATTATTCATTTGTGTAGAAGCCAAAGATGAGGAAAATTAATACATGAAAGCATTCTAATATAATAGATGTCATGTTTATTATCAATACATTTCAAGCACTGTATACATAAGTATTTTTTGTACACATTTTGATGGAATACGTCTGGAATTTTTATTGAAAATATTAGATCAACCTTATGTGAGACAATCTGAAAGACAAACAGGATTTATGTGAGTATTTAAGAATGGGATTTTGAATAATTTGGGTCTAATCCAAACTAACCTAAAGGCTAGTCACAGGTGTTTTGGACTGCAGCACCAGGGTTAAAGATGAGCTTTAAGACCCTTATTAGCCAAAGTGTGGTTCCTGCACCAGCAACATCAGCATTGTCTAGGAACATGTTAGAAATGCAGATACTCAGGCCACACCCCAGGCCTACTGAAACAAAATTTGCATTATTAACATGATTCCCCAGATGACTTAGCTGCATGTAAAAATTTGAAAAACTTCCTTTCAGCTATTTCAGAGTTGTGATCCTTTCTGAATTTCCCAGCTTTGGCCTAATTCCAGCACTAGACCCAATTTCTTCTACATTTCCACATACCCCATTATTTTTATTTCAGATGGTCATCCCTTGCCTCTTGCTCTTATCTCCAAAGGGAAAATCATACAGATTCTAACTAGGTAACTCACAGGTTTCCTTCACAAGTTTCTGTCTTTTAAACAAAGAAAACTTTGCAATCTAATGGTAATATCTTTCAACAATTTGCTGACAGACCTGAGACCATCCTGTAGTTTCTTTAAAGTTACAGGTGAGGGAAGGGGGTGTAGACCATTCTCTATAGCTTGTACAAGAATATTCACACCATTAACTATCTTACATCCTTGCTTCAAAACCTTGCTTTGTTTGGCCTCTCTAAGATTATGCTTAAGTGAAAAACAGTGAGTCCATTCAGAAACACACACACACACATACAAACATAATTTGTCATGTGTAAAAAGAACAATGCTGTTACAAAAAGTAATGCCAGAAGCTCCCACGTTTTTGGTGTTGCAAAAAGCTGTGGCTGGTGCTAAATCACCATTACTACCCTGGGACCACTTGGGAACATGCTAATTTATAGCCAAAGCAATATTAGTATTCTTGTTTATTTTACTTTCATTATCTAAATAGGTGCAGCTCAAACTAGGTAAATTGTTATAATTCTGTCTTCTGGTATGAGACTGGAAAAGAGAATATAATGGTAACAAAGAAAAGCAACCAATAGTTTTAGTAAATAACACTGCAAAAGTCAGATATTTCTTATCTCCAATTGCTCCAACTCCTATCATCAAGTTACTAGAGACAATCAGTGTGCCTGATGCTGGAGAGAAATCCTTCAGGTAAGCGGAGGCTACTCCTTCTGTTTCTCCATCTGCTAAGCTGTTAACACAAAGACATATTGACAAGGGCTCAAGGAAAACATGGAATATTTCATCAGTATGATTATGCTACCCTAGAGACAGATGTTAGAAAGCTGCAATATTTAAAAATAAAGAGATAAACACATGCTTGAGGAAAAAAGAATAAAATAGGTTTTAGAGTGAGAGAGAAAATTAAAAGGAAAAAAAGATGGAAAGATAAATGAGAGGTTTGTATTGGCACACAAAATGGCAAATCCTTCTTATGCAGAAAAAAATCCCTTTATATTTGTCTCAGGCAATCATCTACCATTATGTACACATTCTTAGAGTGTAATGGGGTAAATTTGTAAGAAGTGCTTGGCAGGACTGATTATTATTACAGAGAACAGACTTATCTCTTGTCATCAGATGGTTAATATCAGGGCTTTGACTTAAACCCATACACATTAGTTTTCATAAAAATTTGAACATGAAAATGTTATATACTTTGGTAATTCACATTGAACATAAAAACAACATGAAGTAAAGATAACACTGGATTTACCAAGTGACTTTCACTGTAGTGGTCAAAGCACTTTGTCTTATTTTTACTGAATAAAATAAAAAGGGGATTATAGTTGTAGGTTATATAAATATTTACAATTGACATACAGTTGCCATATATTAAACCAACATTTAACATTTTTAAACAATAGATTCTCCTTTTTTCTGAAGTTTTAACACATTTGTAAATAAAATTCAAAGAGCAGCAATAGGAAAATAGAAGAAACTTTGGCTTTAAATTCAAACAGACTTGGGTTCAGATCCTGAATGTTTACTTTGCTTCCTTGAGTTTCAGTTTCCTTATCTGTAAAACAGGGAAAATAACACCTACCTCATAGGGTTGCTGAGAGGATTAAATGTATTACTAATAAAGGCCCTAGCATTGTGCATGAACATTACAGGATATCAATAAGTGGCAGATTACATCATCAAAAAAAATAATAACACTAACAAATTGACACAAACAAGCAGATTAGAGTTTTGAATTTAATTACTGGTTGTCTTTTTCTTAAATCTCCAAATTCTGATTGCATAGTAGATGCCTTACTTACCACCTTCTCCCACTGGGAAGGAGGAGAATACTTCCTCAAGAACGGGGAGGATAGGACAAAGGGGGAGTTCCCAGAGAAAGGAAGAGGAAACAGAATACTTGTACCAGAAAAGACGAGGAAGGGAGAATGAGGTCTAACTTGATGGTCCTGACTACCCCCTCGAGGATGAAAAAAATTGAAAAAATTGGCAAAAATAGCAAAAAGTGAAAGCTAGGGAGCTTCAAGAGTTTTTCCTGCTTCCTGTTCGGCATTCTAGGAGGAGACAATGTTGCAGGATAACCATTTCCAACCCAGGACCACTACAGTAGAATAAAATTGGGGTATGGCATAAGTAGGCCAAGGAAGGTTCTATAAGGCAGGCCTCAAACTTCTCCGACTCTTGCGCAGCAGGCTCTCGTATCCAGATATTCCTTCATGATCTCGGTAGGGTATGTAAAAGGTGGTTGTTGAGAGTCGAGAGTGAGAAGCCATTTGGGTCACTGCGGGATGTCCCCAGAGCAGATGCTGCAGAGCAGACAGGCTAAGCCAGAGTTCAGAGGATAGATGTGGCTGAGACACAAGGACCTGCAATGCTGTTAACAAGTGACGAGACAGTAGGTGAGCAAGGGAGGGCTATAGGCTCTGACCATTCTAAAAGAGCTGAATATTGACTTAAACAATGACCTCAGCAACAGATCAACAACAAGGTACCCAGTAACCCATTTGGACTAGATACATCTCCATGGAAGTCACTGAGAATTCAGATGACAGCACAAAGAACAACACACAGATCTGGGTCTCTCTCTCCTTCCTGTAATAAGGACACACGAACCTCTCCTTACACCTAAAGGCTCTTTCTGTCAGGAGAAAAAGGAGAAAGGAAAACATTGAAAGACTGAGATTTACCCCCAAAGAACCTATTTTAAAAGTAGAGAAACTGAGATACATTTTCTTGCCATCTTCAAGTTGTATTCCATCCTACTCCACTCCAAAGAAAGCTTCAACTCAAATGAGAGGCCTTTTTAGCTCTTGATAAGTTAGATGCAATGTTTCCGGTTCTATAAGTTATATTTCCTTTCTGTGAGACCTGGAGAAGAAACCAAAATACCCATTATGTTTCTTTACTCATAATTTAAATTGCCCTAATTACATTATGTAATAGCAAGTAGTATCTTATATACATTATTTTCTCTCCTTTCTGTTTTAAATTACTGTATGGGTAATTTGGGAAGTTCATTCATCCATTCACTCATTCATTCGATGAATATTTACTGAGTACTTACCATGAGTGAATAGACATGACCTCTGTTTTTAATAAGTTAAAAAGGATTATGTGATGTGTGAATGGAATATTTAAGTTAAAGAAAGGCTAGTGGAGTATTGCTGCCTATTTTAACTACAAACAAAACAAAACAGCAGCAGAACCCCACAACTGTAAAAATGTGTTATCTTTTCCCAACTATCATATGCACACAGAAGTAATAAGATAGAGATTGACTAGTATACACAGAACAGTTAAAAAGCATTTTTGTACAAAATCATTACGACAGAAAAGTCTGTTTCCAGAATAACAACAGTGAATCAGGTTGTAGAAGGCAATACTATGCAAAGTCTTATTTTTTTAAAAGTATACTTGCTATGAAAGAAGAGGAATAAGATGTGGAAGAACAGGTCAGAAAGGCTACCATTATTACTTTTTTCAATTTATGAACATTGTTAATATAGGCATGCAAAAGAAGTTGTATAAAAACTAAATATTATATAGTGGTTTTAATTATCTCAGTAAATATGGCTTGGTAATTTTAACGAGGTTTGTGGAAACTTGAGAAGTATATGTTAATTGTCAATATGACCTTATGAACACAAAATAAAATTTTATGGCTTTACTTTTAAAAAATCCTATGATGTTCTGATGATATTAATCTATGGAAATGGCATAGCAGAATATTTTCAGGACTTTTACTCTGGCTCTTTGAACGTGTCCATTCACAGAATTTTTAACGTTCTATCTTTCTTACCTCTTCCACTGTAAAGCTTGTTAGATTTTACATAATGGACCACAGGGAGAGCACACAATTAAGAACAAACCTCTGCTTTTATCAGTTAACCTCTGACAAAGTTGGCATTTCAGTCATCCTAAATGTACATCATACACTGATTGAAAGGTGACATTGTTAGAGATTATAAATAATTCAACGAATGGTATCTATCTGATTAGTATTTCAAAACAATATTTTATGTCTTCCCAACCCTTTCTTTATTTTCATAGAGTGCAGTTACATTTGAAATCTATGGTTTCTGGCATATCTGGGGTAAGGTTACACTAGGAATTTACCAGACCTGTCAGTCTCTAACTTTCTTCCATATTTCATTATATCATTCCGGTTATAATTAGTTGTCTGGTAAAATTAAGAACAGTCTATTTCAGTGAATGCTCATAGGAACATTTAACAACTTTTTGTTAGAATGACAGCTTAGCGACAGAAAGAATAAACCAGAAAGAGAGAGTCACTGAAGTAACCTTAGTTAACTCAATATTGCCAGCTCAACTGAAAATGCTAGGATTTTGCATTTTTTTCTTTTTCGTTATTAATCATCAAGCACGTATTTCTTGTCAGGAGATGAGCAGCAGTTTGTTGGCATTCCTGCCTTAACCAGCATGTTTTGAACTGACCTGTCTTCATTGCTATAGCTCCCTAGAAACTTTGCCGTTGATGAGCGTTGATTCAGCTGAATGCTTTGACATTCAGCTTGTCAGTGAAAGCTATTTTAATCATTAAGATGCATCTCCCTTCCAAGATTGCAAACTGTTGCTGCTCATACACAACATTCTATCATTTGACTACTGTGGAGAAGAAAAGAACCTGAATAGTTACTATTAATACACGTTATATTAAGGGCTAAAATTTACAGAATATTTAACTATGTAAGGAATTGTGCTTAGCAATTTACAGGAACTACCTTATTTAATCCTCACAATCGTGGAATCTGACTTCCTGAGTTTGCATCCCTATTCTGCACTTACTATCTGTATGACATGCAGCCCTTTCTGTGACATGACTTCCTCATGTGTAAAATGGAATAATAGTACCTACCTCATAGGGATGAGGCTTAAATGAGACATTTCGTCATCCTCAGAATAGTACGTGCGACATCGTGAATTTTCATAGTGTTAGTAATAATTTTTATGACTATATTTTACAGTCGGCCATCCAGTCCTCCTTCACCAACTGTCCTGTGCACCATCACTTCTAACTTTAACCATCTCTGCTGCCCTGACTCCAAAGTGGAGACAAGGGAAAATGACATATTTCTGTCGGTATCTGAATTCTAGCTCCACAGGAGGGAGTGCTACAATTGTGGCAGAATAATACTTTTGTAGTATAAACATTTTTAATTTTTTCCTCTCTTCATAGTAGCCATTACCTGTTCAGGCAGCTAGGCCTATGTGCTGGTGAATCCCTGCTGAATGGGATGAAAGTAAAGCTTTAGATAGTTTTGGGGATTTCAGAATAGAAGGGTCATTTCTTCTAGGCTTTAATGAGAGGCATAAAGATGGCAAGGTGGCAGAATCCCATACTTGCTCATGCCTACGTTTGTGCAAGCACAGAAGAAATACGAGTATGTGTCATATGCCTATGCAGACAACCCTAGATGGTCTCACAGAGTTCCCTGCGCCATATCACTGACAGGGAGCAGAGTGATCCCATGCTCCCAGTTGGGCATGTAAGCAAAACTTCCCATAGTCTAGAGCACAATTAGGATGTTTCCCATTGTGGCAGAAACTATGCCGTGTGGTGACCTGAACTTCTGTTCCCTCCTGAGCACAAAGCTAACAACTTCATTTTCTAGCCCCTCCTGCTGTTAGTTAGGAAACAGGACTGACTTTTAAAACCTATATAATGTCTATGTGCATTCTCTTCCCTTGGTGGCCAGCTGAATACATAGTCATGCATTACTTGTACGGGGATATTTTTTGAGAAATGTGTCATTAGGTGATTTCAACATTGTGGGAACATCATAGAGTATACTTAGAGACCTAGACGGTATAGCCTCCTATACACAGAGGTTATATGCTATTAGCCTATGGCTCCTAAACTACAAAACATTACAGCATGTTACTGTACTGAATAATGTTGGCAATTATAACACAATGGTATGTGTGTATCTAAACATAGAAAAGGTACAGTAAAAATATGGTATTGTAATCTTATGGGACCACCATCGTATACGCCATCTGTTGTTGACCTAAATGACATTACATGGTGCATGACTACATATGAACCAGTGAAGAACACCTAATTCTAGAAAATGGCAGAATCACTGAATCAGGGGTTCTTAACCTGGGATCTATTTAATAAAATTTAGGAAAATTATAACTTTGGATTTGGAACAAAAACAATTCTGTATTTTCACCAACCTCTAACTGAAATTTAGCATTTTGTTCAATTACAAACCTAAGCACCAATGCACAGTAGTATTGGCAATACTTGTGACTGTCACCAATAAAATAATCACAGGTATTTACATATCATATTGCAGCTATTGGAAGTATCTCAAATATCAACTATACTAAATTTTGTTTTAAAATAACAGCAGGTATTAGACACACTGCTATTTTTATTTCATATGCTAATAAAAAAGCATATAACAAAATAACAAAAATATTTTTAAAAATTGTTAAGGTTTTCAATAAAATTGTTTTCCTTTGTAATCTGTATCGTTTTTATGCCTTTAAAAACATTTTTCTGAGGTGTCTTTGGGCTTCACTAGATTGCCAAAGAGGGTTATAGAATAAAAGTTAAAAATGTCTGTTCTAGATTGATCCCTGAATGACTTCATGAAGTAGGGCCCCTCTTTCTCTCTGCTCCACATTCTCACCACACTGCTGACCCACGTTGTACATGATGTGAAAAATAAGATTTTACTGTATTAAGTTATTGAGATTTGAAGGTTAATCTTTAGAGTAGTTAGCCTATGCAGATTAATTAATATACCCTTGTTACCCAAATGACCCAAACATGGCAGAGCACACCTGAGACCTGAAGAGGCCTCTGGTTGGAAAAAACCCAGAAGTGACTAGTGAGGAACACAGATTACATGGGGCCATTGAAGATGCCTTAGCAGACATCAACCTGGGAAGAGGATGAAGCTCTGTACAGAATCATCTCTTTCAATTTAGAACTAAGTTCACTTACATTAATATGAAGAAATAGTTCAATTATTCTTGAATTGATACATGGAAATTATAAAATAATTTCTTATTTATTGTTTCTCTCTTCCCCTACTAGGGTGGCAGTTATTTTTGTTTCTCATAGCAGATGTTAAGTGCTTTGGAATTCATCAAACTTTGTAAATATGTGTGTGTGTGCATATATACATAATTTTAAATCAATCTCTGGTTAGCTCTGTTCTCAGCTAGAACTTAACACTGAAGAGAAGCAAATGACAACAAAGATGAGATTGATGTTACATAAGTCCTTCTGTATAGGAATTTGAAAGTTGGTAATTTTTTAAAAGGCCTGTTTATTTAAATACTCTTAATAGAGCCCTCCAGAGTTTTCAAGACAGGTGTAAATTTGACACCACTTCTCTCATGGCATTAAGTACTGTTAAAGTTCCCTTTTAAACTGTTCTGCTGCCTATATTTCAACTTTAGACCAATTAAATCAGTCATTGTAAGACCTTCATTTTATTAAAAGTCAGATGCAGAGACTCCTCTGAGGATAGACTCTTTCTAACCCCCAAGGATTTAATGTATCTAAACTTTTACAACCTATGGAACTATAAGAGAATGAAAATAAAATGGGGTTAGTGTGTTATATAGTTTGGTTTCAGCATTAAAATGCATAAAAAATATAGTCCATTTATTCATAAATACTATATAATATAAACATCAGTCTTTCCTGATCACGGTTGCATATCCAGCTCCAGGCAAATAAAATTTATTTTTATTTTTAATTTTTATTTGCCTAATGGCCTAGCAAATAAAAATTTTTATGAACGAGCAAATTAATCAAATAGTACTTATTCTAATTATATGCAATGTCTCTCTCTCATGACTGGACTTTGCCATGAGAAAATTGTTGCCATTTTCACATGCATGAGTGAAGTGACTAGGTTAGGAAGTTAAAGCCCCTAAATTGCCAGTAGCTCACTGACCCTTGAAATTCTTAAGGAGATACAAAGTTCTTTGATGGAAGAAATACTGTGGTATTATTACAACTGAGCCTCTTCCTGAGATACAAGTTTTTTAAAACTACTTTTCAGTGGCTGCTTAGTATTACTATGTATTAGGAAGTACAATAGTTGGTTTTGCTCTTTCACTTTCATGTTAATTTTCACACATTCAAAAAAGTAAAAGAATAGCTTAATAAACACCCTAAGTACCCATTTTCCAACTTCAACAGTCATCATACACTGCCATTCTTATTTTATTTTCCCCCCCTCCAACTTTTTTTTTTCTTTTGCTTGAGTATTTTGAAGCAAATCCTAGGCATCAATTTTTTTCAGCTATAATAATTTCAGTATGTGTCACTAACTGATAAAGACTTTATAAAAAACATAATGCAATACCATTTAGCTCACCTGACAAAAATATTAACAATTCCTTAACAGAATACAGTCCATGTCCAAATTTTGTCTGTTTGTCTCATACTTGGTTTGTCTGAATTAGAATCCAAACAATGTAATAGTTGAGTTTGTTTGATATATCTGTAAAGTTTGCTTTAATAGGTAATTCTTTCTCCTTTTTTTAAAAAAATGACATTTATTTGTTGAAGAAATCAGATCACATGTTCTGTAGAAATTCCCTCATTCTGGATTTGGTTGATTGCATCATGGTACAGTTTAACATGTCCCTCTATTTTCTGTAAAAATGGTAGTTACATCTCACACACAAAAGTATTTCTTTTGGCAGGAATATTTCATAGGTGGTACTGTGCACTTTATCTTGCATTAGGAGGCACATAATATTTGTCTCCATTTTTAGTGATGTTAAGATTGACTACTGACTTCAAGTGTTGTCAGTCTGATCCATCATTACAAAGTGTTCTTACTTTCACCTAACAGTATTAGCCATTGATGACTGTTGGCTAGATCCATTATTTCATCAAGAGTTGTAAAAAGGTGATTTTATAATTCTATCATTCTTTTTCATTTATTAACTGGGAAGAGATTTCTTTAATCAACTATATGGTTACCCTGAAATACAACTCATACCAAAAAAAGCAGGATGAATGCTTGTTTCTATTACTGAATTTAATCTAATGTAAGTATGTGAGCTCGTGTCCCTTGACTTCCAACAGTGAGCTATGAGTCTCCCCCAAACCCATCCTACACTCCTCCCCAAGGTCACCAGGTGGTTTTCACTGTGAAACCTAGCAGGGCTAGAATGGGATGTGATAGGATTGGGATGGTGCAGGGATTTAGGGTAGGAAGGGACCAGGTCAGGAAAGAGAGAATACCTCGAGCAGGATCTCGGAGGTGGAATCTGAGTCTTCTGTGCTGTCCTGTGCACCGGAGCTCTCCGTAGACTCGCTGGGTTCCTTGCTGTCAATGCCACTAGAACTGGCAACCGGGTTCTCCTGCTGACAGGCCTCTTCAGAACCAGGAAGTGTGCTGCCCTGAGTCTCCTGGTTCTCCTTGGAGCCCAGCACCACATACTTGCCCTTCTCTTTCAGCTCCAGCTGCCATCCCAGCTCATCTGCCATCTGTGAGAGATCCCGCTTCATAGCATAAGCATCTTCCCCATCTGCGTAGTATTTGGGTTCCACTTCACTAACTTGAAAGTTGAGGGTTTTAGAATAGAGGTGCAAAGCTGCCCGGTTACTCTTCCTGACATGCAGAGACACGTATTTGGCGCTAAAGTTCTCTATCATGGCGGTGGAGGCCTGGTCCATCAGCTTCTGGGCCAGGCCGAGGCGCCGGTGTGAACGCTTCACGGCCAGTGAGGTGATATGGCCATGAGGGACATCATCTGGGTCCTCCTCCATTTTGGCCAAAACATAGCCCACAATCTTCCCGTCTTCATCCTCAGCAATGTAGGAGAGCTGGGGCCAGGAAAGGCCATGATAGAAATAGTATTTCATCTGGTAGTTCTCGGGAAGGCAAAGAAGGTTGCAGTGCTGCATGTTCATCAGGTCGTCTGGCCGAGCATTGCGGATGTTCATATCGGCGGCTGGTGGGGAGCCGGTCGGACTGTGGTGAAACAGGGAAAGGCTACTGACCAAGCGCAAAAGACAATCTGAGCCTGAGCCCAGAGGCCAAAACCACGAAGTGGACTGTGTGGAGGTGGGATGGAGGGAAGGCAAGACGACAAGGAGGCGGAAGGGGCGGTGCTAAGCTGCGGCTTCCGGCAGTGCACCACCCTGTCCTAGCCAATGAGGTTTTCACTTCATTGCGCGTGTGCGCGCATCTGGGTTAGGGGGGTGGGGAGAGAAGAGTTCATTATGATCTCCTTGGTTTCAAATAAATTGCTTGACCCATTCTTTTGTTTCAATTTTAACTTTTTAATTTGGGCACATGTGAATAAACTTTTACAAACGGAACAAACCCATGTAACCAGAACTTACATCAGGAACCAGTACATCGCCTTTACCCCCGAAACTCCCCTCCTGTCCCCTTTCAGTACACAGGCCCACAGACACGTCTCAAGAGTAACCATCACCTGGACTTGTAACAGACTTTATGTAAACGGAATCATAGTGCATGCATCTTTTTTAAAGTCAGGTCCCCCCCGCCCCCATTTGTGAGTTCCAGCCACTTTGTTGTAAATAGTTGACGGTTCATGTTTAATATTTCAGTGCCTAAATATATCATAATTTATTTATTCATTCTACTGTTGATCGCCATTTATGTTATTTCCAGTTTAGGAATGGAATAGATACGAGGGTACTTTAAAAAGATCATGGAAAAATTAAATGGAAAAATAATAAGAATCCTTCCATGAACTTTTTGAAGTATATTCATAGGGTAGCTGAACACTCTATCTACAACAGTCTTTTGTTGATACATAAGCATGTAAATATGCAGGAGTAGAATTACTGGATCAGAGAATATAATGATCAACTTTTATAAATACTGGCTAGCAGCTTTCCAAAGCGGTTGCTCCACACTCTCAACAACGTTTGGTATTTCCCTATCTTTTTCATTTAGCTATTCATGTGGGTAGGAGGAGGTATTACGTTGTGGTTTTATTTTGCATTTTCCTGATGACTAGTGAAGTTGGACACCTTTTCATACGCTTATTAGCTTTTCTTTGTTCTCTTTTGTGAAGTGGCTGCTCAAGTCTTTTGCTCATTTTTCTGTTGGGTTGTGTGTCTTTTTCACACTAATTTTTAAGAGTTTCTTTTTTTCTTTCAAAAATTAGTGAATCCTTTGTCAGATGTATTTATACTGACTCTCATCCTCTTTTATTGGTTGATTTTTCCTTCTCTTAATGATGTTTTTTGACACCAAGCATAAATTTTAATATAGTTTAATTTGTCCAGTTTTTAAATTTTATGGCTAATGCTTTTTGTGTCTTTTTTAGGGAATCTTTGCCTACTCCATGATTACAGAGGCTTATTCTATGTTTTCTTTTTAAATCACTATTGTTTTACATTTTATATTTAGATCTGCAATCCACTGGAATTTAGATTCGTATATGTCATGAGGTACCAGTTTGGCTAACTTTTTCTTTTGTGGATATGTCATGTATTTAGCACCATTTATTGGGAAAAAAAATCATCCTTTCTCCATGGCACTGCATTTTTACTTTGGTCATAAATCATAAGTTCCATTTCCAGATACATTTAAAAATTTTATGCCATTTTGATAAAGCAAGATTTTGAATATTTTTTTAATAGTGTGAGGAAGCCACATTTTACTAGGACTGCTTGCACATAAGCTGACTATAAATCCTAGAATTGTCTATATATCTTGTATAGTCTTCCTTCCCAGTTTCTTAGCAGACCTAGAAACACAAACATCAAAGTTTATTCTGTTGTAATTATATCACTAGCTGGGCCATGGATGTACTCTAACTCATCTAGAATATGTGTGCAGCATTCTTTCCAGTGAGGGTACTCACTCCTTTAATAGCTGAAGTAATCTAGAGTCGTGTGATCTGTGAAACATAGCTTGAGTAGCCACTATTTTTTGTTGTAATTTAACAACTAGAAGTGTTTTTGTTAATACTTTTTTTTTTTTTTAAGATTTAAGATAATCTTCTTACTTCCTTTGTGTTTTGATAGACTCCATACATTGGAAAAGTTATTTTCCAGTATCATTCCTATTGAGAAATTTATATTGTACCTTACACTATGGACAGTGATATGTGCTTTGAGATGAGGTAGCTCTAAAAGCACAACCTAGATGAATTACTTGGTTGATTCTCCTATAATAGGTTCTTCTTTAAAAAGCGTGGACTACAAAAACTTGTGTATATTGCATTCTTTGATAGAAACATTTAAAATGCAGCCCAGGTTAACTACAGATAGTACATCCTACCATACCATGCAGAATAATTGCTGACTTAATGCTAGAAACTAGGAACAGTAGTAGCCAGTAGTTGGGCAATACACTGAACTTATTCCCGAGTCGGAAGGGTACCAAAAACTATTGAAAGCATGGTTTTTAATACATGACAATGTAATCTTTACACATTTGTAAACACAGAGGGAATATAACTCCTCTGTCGAGGGAGAAGAGTCTACCAGATTTAATGACCAGAGCAGCTAAGGCAAAAAAATGTACCAACTGCTTTTGTTCTGATAGACCTTTCTTCCTTGACAGAGAAGTTGCCATCATGTTCCTTCTGTATTTGCTTATTCATTTCAACTTCAGTGGAAAGCATGGATCCAAGACAAAAGACTCTGACACTTTTAGGTGGTGTTGGTAGTAAGTAGGACTTGACTCGGCCCCTCCTACTGAAATCAAGTACAAATTTTCTCTGATGTACCATAATGTGCCTCTAATTTCTAGACTATCTAGCACTTCTTATCAGGGTTTGTTGGTAGTCCATTTTAAATTATAAGCAGAGGGCCTTGGGAATCTTCACTAATACTTTGCAGTAATTTAGCACAAAATCATCTAGTACATAAATATCTTATAAATGAGAGCTTTTGGAATTCTGGTCAGGTCTTATGTCATATCTATTAATATTTTATGGGGAGGAAACCTCCATCTATCTATTGGCGGTAGATCTCATGCTTATAAGATTTCAGGGCAAGGCATCTGATCATTTGAGTCTAGTTTCTTCCCAACTCTTAGTCAAGTTATTTTTTTTTTTTTCTTTTTTGTCTTTTTCCGTGTCCAGCAACGGATCGCAACCCTCAGTGTTGCCCCCGTACCGGACCGGGGACCGGCAACGGGATTGCAACCCTCAGTGTTGCTCCCGCGTCTCGCTTAGCCAGTGAGTGGGAACCGGTCTGTATGTGGGATCCGAACCCTCGGGCGGGAGCGCCGCAGCACTTCCCAAGCGGCGCACTATCCAGTGCGCCACCGGGCCAGCCCTAGTCAAGTTATTTTTCAACCTCATGTTTCTACATTCTATATCCTGCATTAATTGTGTATAATACTGAAGTGTTAATGAATGAATACATAACCTCTATACATTTCCTTTACATTATGACTTGTAAACTGTGTTTCCTTCTCACTATTAATAGGCAAGTTTATTCTAAATGTTATTAAGAGATTTTAAATAGCTTTATAACCCCACCCCCCACAACCTGATTTGGTGTAAGAATATATTATACATCTAGAGAAAAATATATAAAAATTCTCAACATTTTTATTTGAGCAACTTTTCTTCATCTGCATGGATAAACCTAATAATTATAAATAACCCCAACAATAACGGTAAGCCATTCTTGGTGTCTTTGCTGGACTTCCTAAAATATGAGCTTGGCAAATGAGGAAGATGTGACAAAATAGACCAATTTAGAAGAATTAGAGGCATATCAATTATTTTTCTTTTATTTGTGCTGTCATCTCTTTTGTCTGTCTGGCTCATTCCATGGGCCATGAAAGCAAGATGAAGACAACGGTTGACCCCACACAAATTTGGGAAGAAGAGGCATGTCTTTTTTGTTTGTTTGTTTGATTCTGTGTAATCCTGAACCTGAGGCCTGATCTTAGAGTAAGGTAACAACAAAAAGAGTTTTCAGAAGCAGCCTGTTGGATCCACAAGGGGAAAATGGCAGTTACTTTGGCTGCAGTAAGAGCCAAAGCAACATTCCCACGCCTATGATGTGTGGACAGCAACATAGTCTATAACAGCTATATTATAAGGGAATTGTATGACATATACAAGATTATAAATGGATGGAAAAATAGGCATTTTCTATACCTACTGAGATAATAAATTCTCATTGTTTATTCCATTGTCCATAATCATAAATAACACCAAAGGCTATAATTTAGTTATGTAGGTGACCAAGAACAGATAGCAAAGAATTTTCAACACAGTCATGTTACTTATTTTCCAAAACCAACTTTTTTTCTAGTAGTGCCACTGAAAGGGCATATTTATGTAGGTATGACATCGTAATTTTGGGAAAAAAAAAGTTTCGAAGTTAGCATCA